AAGTCATCAGGGGTTCTCACAGCAGAATGAACCGCCAACTATTTCAGCAAATGTTTTATGGCTTCCAGCCACAACCGATTACTGGGAAACACCTTTACACCTTGGCATTCACACACACACTCATACACTATGGCTAATTTAGTTCATCCAATTCACCTATAGCGCATGTCTTTGGACCGTAGAGAAAACCGGAAGGAACCAACTTGAATAAGGGTAGAACATGCAAACTCCACACAGAAACATCAACTGGCTAAGCCAGAACTCGAACCAGCGACCACTTAGCCATCATGCAAAATAATAATAATAATAATAATAATAATAATAATAATAATAATAATAATAATAATAATAATAATTATTATTATTATTATTATTATTATTATTATTATTATTATTATTGTAAATCTGCAGGCTCTAGTCTCTTAGGCTATTGTTGCATTACTTTTCATGCATTTCTTTTTTTATTTTACAAACTGAACGCTTTGAATATCTGGCCATAAACCATAGGCCACAAATTTTGAACATGATTTAGAATATTGAATATTTTTAGTCATGGTGACCTATAAAATAAGGTCTTTATGAAGTTTAAGAAGTACATATTTTTCTCCTCTTCAAAATGCAATAGAGTGAACATATTCAATTCTAGTAGTACTTGAGTAAAAGTACTCACAGTACTTCCCACAAGATACTGATGACAGTTCACACTAAAAAATTTTCAGCTCAATAAACTACTAATTTACTGCTGAATACAATTTAGTAAGGTAGTAGTTTAGGTTTACAGTGGGTATTGGGCAGGATAAGGATGTAGAATAAGATTATTGTTAATAAGTACTAATAAACAATGAATATCTTAATAGTAGGCAAGTCATATGCCACTAGTTAATAGTGCAAATTGGTAATTAAACTGATACCTAAATTAAAAAGTGATACCTAATCTTTCTGTTGTGGAAAGCACACAATATATATAAAAAGTCAGTTTTTGTCATTATAATGCAAGTAAAATGGAGCCCACTGACTTTGTCATTGTATGAACAGAAGAAATATGTTCTTCTGCAGTTTTTCACAATAGAAAGAAAGTCATACAGGTCTGTAACGACATAAGGGTGAGTACCTGATAACAGAATCCATTTTTTTTGTACAGTGACTGTTGTAATTGTACCCCTGCAGATAATCAAACAAAGGTTGTATGGATAGTGACACACTGAAAGGAAAAGAGGTTGAGAGATGTGTGATGAAAGCCCTGGCCATCTAACTCAAGGACACAGTGACCCTGGGTGTCCCTCTCCTCAGTGAATGTTGCTTTTAACAGCAGCACAGGAGAGACTTTGGCTGTGTGTGCCTGTCCTGTAAGTGAACCCATTACTGCTATCCTATACTTTAAACACTGAGAGCCTGTCTACTTGTGTTCCTGTGCTGATGAATATCTTGTGAATGTGAACAGGCAAGAGCACCATCTGAACAGGAAGAGATACCGGTGAGATTACGGAAATATAAGAGGTATAAAGCACAGTCCATCATCATGTATTGTATGATATGTTGTGTCTAGAACATAAAATATGTGTGTGACTTTTATTTCACAATGGTCATTTGTCACGCTGCTAAATTCTCCTTCAACGGAGCTATTATTGTCTGAATTGAGTGGTAAGCTCATTATTCACAATTTGCCGTTGTGACATGTCTGAAATTGGTTACTCTGCTGTGCTTAATTTTTATTTTTCATTCGCCCAATAGGTGGCTCCTCGCCTCTGTGCCAAAAATGATAAGAAGGGGCTAAGACTTGGCAGACTTGTGGAGCAGATCTGTGCCAAACTCCTTCAGGGTGCCATTCAGGAGATTACAGCGTTGTTCATTAACCTTCAAGTGAAGTAGGAGGAAGAGACACAGACCAGAGCAAGATGATTTTTACAAACAATGCTATGCAAGCTAATGTATGTCATCACAGTATGTGGTGACTTAATTGGGTACGAATGCCAAAAATCTATGTATTATTCACAAAGAAGACACAATGTTGTTCAGCGAAGTGCTAAATGCTCTAAAACAGAGCTGCGCTGTGAATATTTAAATGAAATCGCCGTCATTCTTTTCAACACAAACACAATTCCTTTGTATGTAAATGAGGTTTATGGAATTGGTTTGCAGCGGCAGATCTGCCACATCCTAGTGCTCCAACTCAGGCATACAAGATGAGGTATTGTCCTATGCTGGTTTTCTGGGCACATATGTACTGTTATTTGACTTTTACGACTTCTTTTGTGAATTGGAAATGAAAAAAAGGAAAGAAATGTAGACAGCGCAGGCAAATAATGTGCATTGAACATGCCTTGGCCACTTGATTCATTCATTGTGATTAAACAAGGTTCTGGAAAGATTCCTCAAAGGTTTTGAACTATATTGATATGATTGCATATTACATTTGATGCAAATTTTTGGGCTGCATTTTTATGGTCTGAATCTCCTGTTCCATCCCAAATGTGAGATCTGGACACTGTAGAGGCCATTAACATTGAGCTCATCTTTGAGATGATTTGAGCTTTATAACGTTATGCATTATCCTGCTGGATAACATGGATGAACATGGTCAGCAACTCAAGGCTATAGCATTCAAATGATAATCAATTGTTGTGATAATAATGGTAGGGCTGAGATTCATAGGTGTGGAGTGAGTCCAGTGCCATGAGTGTTAATGAGCTATGTGTGGTGTTTTAACAGTTGTTACAACGATTACAATTAATATTTAGGGGTAAAAGTGTGACAAAAAAAAATTCCCCTCGCACCATTAAACAACCATCAGCCCAAACTATTTATACAAGGCAGGGTGGATCCAAGATGTACGTTGTTTACACCAAATTCTGACTCAACCATCTGAATGCCGAATGAGAAATTGAGACTTATGTATCAGACTAGGTAAAAAATATACTAGTACATTTGACAGCAAAACGAATGCTACTGGGCAGTATAATGCCATGGAATGCAGTTCATTTTCACAATAATGAAATGCAGAGACATTATCAACAAAATAGGATTATGTTGTGTAGTCTGCACAACTCCAAATAAATACAGTGGTCCCTAGTTATTCACGGGAGTTACATTCTAAAAATAACCTGCAATAGGTGAAATCCCTTAAGTCAGCTTTTATTTTTTTACATGTATTATAGATGTTTTAAGGCTGTAAAACCCCTCACTACAAACTTTATACATTTTTCTCAAACAGACATGAACATTTTCAAACTTTGCTCTCTTGTTTAAAAACTCTCAAAGTTAAAACCTTCATGGAAAATAAGTCCAGTATGATAGAATGAAACTAAAGATTAAAACCTGTTGTCAAGAGCAAACATGCATCTCTGTCAGCAAGATTTATAAAGCTTTTTAGCTTTTGTTGGATAATGTTGGTAGCGTTATGTTCTTTTTACTGCAGTCACTGATCTACAAAGCTAAAGCAGTCTCCATCCCTAAGGGGGTCACACACCCGTTGCGCCACACACATGAGAGTTGGAAATAATGCATATCAGACGTGCACATTCACGTTATTAAAATGAAATTATTCAGGTGGAGCCCTGTGGGGTGACAGAAATATGAACAGTGTCCTGAGTCATAGCTAGACAGCTGCTGACTTGCATTGTGTGTACACTGATATAAACCTATGTTTACCATTCTAAAATGTATGGCAAACCGCGCTATAACGAGAGACCACTGTACCACAAAACAACTTAATTGTGTCTACTATTTAAAAAAAAAAAATTTTTCTTATGTTTGAAACATTAATAGTTGGGTTTATGGGAGAGTGTAGGTAATTGGTTTGTGAGGGGATCTTTACTACAAGCCTCACGTTCTTGTGGAGATGTACAAGAAGGAAGGGCATCTGAAGCATATAAAAAAACTTACCCTTAGCAGCGAATTTCAGATTTGCTAAAATGTAGACAGCGCCCTCTAATGGATTTTTCATTTGAAAAGTGCAATGAGATGTACCCAGAGTAACAAGTATTTCCAATGATGGCGGGCTGCAATTTTCACAGATAGAACAATGAATATTTTCTCATTTTCTGAACATTTTCTGCATATCTGTGTTTGAAATATTCAGACAAGCCTGTCTGGCACAAACAATCATAGACTAATTCACTTAATTTCTTTAATAAACATGTACAAAGCAGATCAATCTGCTATGATAATATATTTTAAAGATATGGATGTTATCCAGTTACTGTGGGCATATGATTGTTGATATATGCAAGTTTAATTTTTGTTTAGTATAAGGATATTTGTTTTGCATTGCAAGCTGGTGGTGGGATTCATGTTACACTATTTACCAGGCGATCACTGGGATTTCTTGAGCGGCTCATTTATAATCCTTCATAAAAATGGCCCTGATAGTTCAGTAAAAGAAGGTCAACAAACAGAACCCCTCATAATCAGGCTCCATTTGTGACTCATCAAGTGGACTTACTCACTGCACACACATGCAACCACTACCTGTGATTAGACAAACACAACACACACACACACACACACACACTAGCACAACATCTGCATGCAAGCAAAGAGTCACTGTCCAATTCAATAAAACTGTATATATTAGTCAGAAAAGAAACGTTCAGGTTCAGTAGAAGTGTGCAGATATACAGCTATTAGCTGAGTGGGTGGGAAAATCTAGAAATCTGTTCCTGTCAGGAAAATATGAAAATGTTATGACACTTTGGTAATGACAAGGTTTCTATGACAACAGTGTCTGTAAGAATGCAAACTGCAAAGCCTTGTTGTTATTGGCAAATAACTGCATAAATGCATTATGGTCCACGGAGGTTAAGCATTCATTTGGTTAGAAGCTGAAAGTTATAGAGCCATTTCTCTCTTATCACATCAGCGACCCTTGTTGACTCATTTCAAAACTATTTCAAAAGTGTTGTGCAATACATACACATGTGGCATTTCCTCTGGACAGAGAAGGGTAAACGTATGCATTTACCTGTAAATAATTTAATAAAGCAAAACGCAAGACCACTTACTTGGGTCTGAGAGGATGGAGTCAGTCTTGGGCAGGAACTGGTCACAGCGAATGCCCTGGAAACCCTCTTTACACCTAGAAAAAGAGAGAGAAAGAGTCACAGTTAGTAAACAGTGATTTAATAGATGCTTTTATCGAAAGCAGTGTAGAGTGTTTCAGGGACAGTCTCCATGAGGTTAAGAGCTCATTCCTGATGGAGATAAAAGCAGCGACCTTAAAAGTGGTGTACCTATTAAAATAGTGACTATTTAGTATTTAACGTTTCTGGAACAAGATCATCAAAAGCTTTATAGAATGAAACTAAAGATTAAAACCTGTTGTCAAGAGCAAACATGCATCTCTGTCAGCAAGATTTATAAAGCTTTTTAGCTTTTGTTGGATAATGTTGGTAGCGTTATGTTCTTTTTACTGCAGTCACTGATCTACAAAGCTAAAGCAGTCTCCATCCCTAAGGGGGTCACACACCCGTTGCGCCACACACATGAGAGTTGGAAATAATGCATATCAGACGTGCACATTCACGTTATTAAAATGAAATTATTCAGATGGAGCCCTGTGGGGTGACAGAAATATGAACAGTGTCCTGAGTCATAGCTAGACAGCTGCTGACTTGCATTGTGTGTACACTGATATAAACCTATGTTTACCATTCTAAAATGTATGGCACTGAAAATATAAAAAACTGCGAGGCCGCAAAAGGTAAACCGCGCTATAACGAGAGACCACTGTACCACAAAACAACTTAATTGTGTCTATTATTTAAAAAAAAAAAAAAAGTTTTTTTCTTATGTTTGAAACACTAATAGTTGGGTTTATGGGAGAGTGTAGGTAATTGGTTTGTGAGGGGATCTTTACTACAAGCCTCACATTCTTGTGGAGATGTACAAGAAGGAAGGGCATCTGAAGCATATAAAAAAACTTACCCTTAGCAGCGAATTTCAGATTTGCTAAAATGTAGACAGCGCCCTCTAATGGATTTTTCATTTGAAAAGTGCAATGAGATGTACCCAGAGTAACAAGTATTTCCAATGATGGCGGGCTGCAATTTTCACAGATAGAACAATGAATATTTTCTCATTTTCTGAACATTTTCTGCATATCTGTGTTTGAAATATTCAGACAAGCCTGTCTGGCACAAACAATCATAGACTTAATTTCACATCATCATTCACTATAATAATCATTCACTTAATTTCTTTAATAAACATGTACAAAGCAGATCAATCTGCTATGATAATATATTTTAAAGATATGGATGTTATCCAGTTACTGTGGGCATATGATTGTTGATATATGCAAGTTTAATTTTTGTTTAGTATAAGGATATTTGTTTTGCATTGCAAGCTGGTGGTGGGATTCATGTTACACTATTTACCAGGTGATCACTGGGATTTCTTGAGCGGCTCATTTATAATCCTTCATAAAAATGGCCCTGATAGTTCAGTAAAAGAAGGTCAACAAACAGAACCCCTCATAATCAGGCTCCATTTGTGACTCATCAAGTGGACTTACTCACTGCACACACATGCAACCACTACCTGTGATTAGACAAACACAACACACACACACACACTAGCACAACATCTGCATGCAAGCACAGAGTCACTGTCCAATTCAATAAAACTGTATATATTAGTCAGAAAAGAAACGTTCAGGTTCAGTAGAAGTGTGCAGATATACAGCCATTAGCTGAGTGGGTGGGAAAATCTAGAAATCTGTTCCTGTCAGGAAAATATGAAAATGTTATGACACTTTGGTAATGACAAGGTTTCTATGGCAACAGTGTCTGTAAGAATGCAAACTGCAAAGCCTTGTTGTTATTGGCAAATAACTGCATAAATGCATTATGGTCCACGGAGGTTAAGCATTCATTTGGTTAGAAGCTGAAAGTTATAGAGCCATTTCTCTCTTATCACATCAGCGACCCTTGTTGACTCATTTCAAAACTATTTCAAAAGTGTTGTGCAATACATACACATGTGGCATTTCCTCTGGACAGAGAAGGGTAAACGTATGCATTTACATGTAAATAATTTAATAAAGCAAAACGCAAGACCACTTACTTGGGTCTGAGAGGATGGAGTCAGTCTTGGGCAGGAACTGGTCACAGCGAATGCCCTGGAAACCCTCTTTACACCTAGAAAAAGAGAGAGAAAGAGTCACAGTTAGTAAACAGTGATTTAATAGATGCTTTTATCGAAAGCAGTGTAGAGTGTTTCAGGGACAGTCTCCGTGAGGTTAAGAGCTCATTCCTTATGGAGATAAAAGCAGCGACCTTAAAAGGGGTGTACCTATTAAAATAGTGACTATTTAGTATTTAACGTTTCTGGAACAAGATCATCAAAAGCTTCATAGAATGAAACTAAAGATTAAAACCTGTTGTCAAGAGCAAACATGCATCTCTGTCAGCAAGATTTATAAAGCTTTTTAGCTTTTGTTGGATAATGTTGGTAGCGTTATGTTCTTTTTACTGCAGTCACTGATCTACAAAGCTAAAGCAGTCTCCATCCCTAAGGGGGTCACACACCCGTTGCGCCACACACATGAGAGTTGGAAATAATGCATATCAGACGTGCACATTCACGTTATTAAAATGAAATTATTCAGGTGGAGCCCTGTGGGGTGACAGAAATATGAACAGTGTCCTGAGTCATAGCTAGACAGCTGCTGACTTGCATTGTGTGTACACTGATATAAACCTATGTTTACCATTCTAAAATGTATGGCAAACCGCGCTATAACGAGAGACCACTGTACCACAAAACAACTTAATTGTGTCTACTATTTAAAAAAAAAAAATTTTTCTTATGTTTGAAACATTAATAGTTGGGTTTATGGGAGAGTGTAGGTAATTGGTTTGTGAGGGGATCTTTACTACAAGCCTCACGTTCTTGTGGAGATGTACAAGAAGGAAGGGCATCTGAAGCATATAAAAAAACTTACCCTTAGCAGCGAATTTCAGATTTGCTAAAATGTAGACAGCGCCCTCTAATGGATTTTTCATTTGAAAAGTGCAATGAGATGTACCCAGAGTAACAAGTATTTCCAATGATGGCGGGCTGCAATTTTCACAGATAGAACAATGAATATTTTCTCATTTTCTGAACATTTTCTGCATATCTGTGTTTGAAATATTCAGACAAGCCTGTCTGGCACAAACAATCATAGACTAATTCACTTAATTTCTTTAATAAACATGTACAAAGCAGATCAATCTGCTATGATAATATATTTTAAAGATATGGATGTTATCCAGTTACTGTGGGCATATGATTGTTGATATATGCAAGTTTAATTTTTGTTTAGTATAAGGATATTTGTTTTGCATTGCAAGCTGGTGGTGGGATTCATGTTACACTATTTACCAGGCGATCACTGGGATTTCTTGAGCGGCTCATTTATAATCCTTCATAAAAATGGCCCTGATAGTTCAGTAAAAGAAGGTCAACAAACAGAACCCCTCATAATCAGGCTCCATTTGTGACTCATCAAGTGGACTTACTCACTGCACACACATGCAACCACTACCTGTGATTAGACAAACACAACACACACACACACACACACACACTAGCACAACATCTGCATGCAAGCAAAGAGTCACTGTCCAATTCAATAAAACTGTATATATTAGTCAGAAAAGAAACGTTCAGGTTCAGTAGAAGTGTGCAGATATACAGCTATTAGCTGAGTGGGTGGGAAAATCTAGAAATCTGTTCCTGTCAGGAAAATATGAAAATGTTATGACACTTTGGTAATGACAAGGTTTCTATGACAACAGTGTCTGTAAGAATGCAAACTGCAAAGCCTTGTTGTTATTGGCAAATAACTGCATAAATGCATTATGGTCCACGGAGGTTAAGCATTCATTTGGTTAGAAGCTGAAAGTTATAGAGCCATTTCTCTCTTATCACATCAGCGACCCTTGTTGACTCATTTCAAAACTATTTCAAAAGTGTTGTGCAATACATACACATGTGGCATTTCCTCTGGACAGAGAAGGGTAAACGTATGCATTTACCTGTAAATAATTTAATAAAGCAAAACGCAAGACCACTTACTTGGGTCTGAGAGGATGGAGTCAGTCTTGGGCAGGAACTGGTCACAGCGAATGCCCTGGAAACCCTCTTTACACCTAGAAAAAGAGAGAGAAAGAGTCACAGTTAGTAAACAGTGATTTAATAGATGCTTTTATCGAAAGCAGTGTAGAGTGTTTCAGGGACAGTCTCCATGAGGTTAAGAGCTCATTCCTGATGGAGATAAAAGCAGCGACCTTAAAAGTGGTGTACCTATTAAAATAGTGACTATTTAGTATTTAACGTTTCTGGAACAAGATCATCAAAAGCTTCTGTCAAAAAAGCACTAAATGTTCATTTAAATACAACAGAATATGAAATGCTAGATGAATGAAATCCATTAAAAAAGAAAAAGAAATGCTGGCCTTGGATTTGAACTGAAATATGTCAGTTGCATTGCTAAAATGAAATAAAATATAGGGATAATGTAAAGGGCAATGGTAGTATAAAATGAAAACATAATAAAAGTCCCATTTTGTTTTACGTGGCTTTAACTACTATGTACAGTTGAAATCAGAATTATTAAACCCCCTTTAATCTATATATTTTTTTCCAATAGTCTACAGAACAAACCATTATCATACAATAACTTGCCTAATTATCCTAACCTGCCTAGTTAACCCAATTAACCTAGATAAGCCTTTAAATGTCACTTTACCCTGTGTAGAAAAATGGCAAAGATAAAACAAATCAGTTATTAGAAATGAGTTATTAAAACTATTATGTTTAGAAATGTGTTCACTCCTTTAAACAGGCATTGGGGAAAACAATAAACGGGGGAGCTAATCATTCAGGGGGGCTAATAATTCTGAATTCAACTGGACTCAATTAGTCTGATAACCTGCCTATTATTAAGATTTGGCTTTTATTACTACTTATAAAGCAAATATTCTGCATTGTCCAATCCTACATTCCCAAATTTACCGTGTACCTAAAATCAACTAAACTAATAACTTCTATTAAGCAGGAATTGAGGAGTTTGAGCTGAAGTCACAGTTAATGGTTTGTTAATAGTGAGAACTGTACCTTAAAATAAAGTGTGACCATACTCATCATTTAAAAATTTCTGCATGTAAAGACATTTTTAAATTAATATCTGTAACTTTATTTATAATTACACTGTTGATCCATGCTTTACACCATACTTAAA